GTCAGCAACAATGCAAACAGCAAACTGTGGGGAGGAGTGATGGCCACGGCTACATGCCAGCCGCAGATGGGGACGCTGCTGTTTTTGGAAGTGGGAAAGGATGACACCCAGATTATCTCTCAAATAAGAGTCCTACAGTGGCAGTGCCAGCAAAGGGCTTTCACAGGTCACATCCCACACCTGGGGAGCACAGGCACGTGCTGGGGTCACCCAGCTTGGCAAAAAAGGGAGGTGATGGTGGACACTGGGCTGAGCATGAGCCAGCGCTGTGCCCCTGAGGCAAAGGTGTCCTAGGCTATTTTGCCAGCAGGTCAAGGGGAGACTCTATTCAACACTATTGAAGACATCTCAAAGTGCTGTGTCCAGTGCTGGGCTCCCCAGTACAAGAGAGACAGGGACAGAATGGAGAGAGCCCAGGGAAGGGCCACAAGGATAACAAAGGGGCAGGATAAGGGAAGATGCAGAGAAGATGAAGCCAGGCCCTTTCCAGTGGTGCCCAGTGACAGGACAAGAAGCAAGGGGCACAAACTGGAAAACAGAAGGTTACCTGTCAACATCAGAAAACCATTTTTCCCTACGAGCACTGGCCCAGGTTGCCCAGGGAGGTACTGGGAATCTCCCACAACCTTGGATATACTTAAACACTGCTCTGGGCAACCTTGCTTGAGCAACAGGTTAGAGTGAATTACCTCCTCCAGCCAGCAGGAGAGTCAGGGTATGGAACAACAGCCACGCCTTCTGAGACAGAGGTTTTCCCAAACACATTCCAGTGGAGTTTGCTCCCAGGTGCTGGACTGCCACAGTGCAGAACACGAGCTACAGAAGCCTTTCTGGAGGGGCCAGACCTCCTGATCAGCACCTCTATACCATGCCTGTATATCCCCTTGGGATACAAATTTCCCTAGAAGCAGTTTTCATGCAACAAGAGGTCTGAAGGCACCTCCCACCTGTCAGAGGCCCACCTGGCTTTCCTGAAAGTTACATTAATGTACCCCAACCACCCCTGTGAAAGCCTTTATGTGAACTCACAGGTGCACACTCACCTCGGCATCGGTGCCCAATGTGAGGAAAAACCTCTGCAGAAATATGCATGTAGGGCACACAGTGTTTGGCCTCAAGAGAGGAAGAATCCAGAACATCAGGAAAGCAGCTTGCATAAATCAAAATGTCCCATTAAGCATGGACCCAGTAAGGCTTGTTTGCCCTGGGGATTTCTGCAGGTGTCCCCTGGCCCTTTCCTTGTCTCAGCTCTACCCCCACATGGCCCCTGAGCAGACCCAAGGAAGCAACAGTATGTGAATGCGGGACCCACCCACTCCAGACTCACATGCCAACTGCCCTGCTGCCACCCATCACCTGCAGGCTGCCAACTCTGCCTGTCCCTTCACCAGGCAGGATGCTCACCTGGCCTTTCTCTTTCAATTTTCACCAAAAAAAACCAAAACCAAAACCAAACCACAAGAAAACAAATGACAAAAAACCAACCAAAGAAAAAAACCACTCAAAAAAGGTAAGTAACCTTATTTTTTAACAAATGTGTCTAAAAGCAGCCACCAGCTTCCTAAGTTCTTTGGGGCAGCTCCTAACAGAGCAATCACAACACCTTCATTTCCTTAAGAGATGAAGCTGAACCAAATACTTAGCCAGCAAAAATAAATAAATCAATGCCCTGTGTTAGTGTGCAACACCCCAGACACCAGGGCCACAGAGGTGATAAATGGGACCGGAGGAGGGGCCAAGAGAGCTGGGGCTGCTCCAGAGGTCTGCCCAGTGTGCTCAAGTACCTGCTGGGAGGCAGCGAGGATGGGGGGCCTGAGTGCTCTGCACAGGAGGAAATGGGCACGAGGGAAAGCACACGGAATTCCATCTGAACACAAGGATCCATGTTTTTCCTGAAAGGGGTCACACACTGGGACAGATGGCTCACAGAGGCTGCAGAGTCTCCATCGGTGGAAATGCTCAAACTCTCATCAGATGCAAGTCCTGGACAACCTGTTCTGGCTGCCTCTGCCTGAGCTGGGGTGTGGGACTAGATCTCAGGGGGTCACACACACACCAGGGGAGTCTGTGATTCCACAGAACACCACTCCACACCAGCAATAATCATCCCACATTCATACATATGTATCCTAAGTTCATGCAATATGAAACAGATGGAAGAAAACAAAACCACTAAACATCTGGTGCAATCTCCCATCTTCAGTAGCTCAGAGGCCATGGAAACGGCAATGCTGCGTACTGAGCCCCGCAATCACAGTGACTGATGGCACTGCCTCATGCCAAGGAACTTCTATTCTCAGTCCACTTGCTTAGGTGCTTCTGCTGCCCTACTTTAGGCCAAGAGGAAAACCCACTACAGCCCAAGTGTTTAGAAAATAAAGCAGTAATTTGCTTTTAGCAAAGACTGTTTCAAAAGACAATACATAGAATCATCTTAAGAGAGGAGTATTGAGAAGGCAAACTTTCCTTTATGGCATGTAGTGAAAAGTTGTTTCCCTGCCCATGGCAGAGAGGTTGGAACTAGATGATCTTTCCAACCCAAATCATTCCATGTTTCTATGATTCTGTGATTGCTGGAAACAACCCTAATTTAACAAATCATACCTGTAACAGTCTGTTTGTGCACAACTGCAGCATAAAGATGAAAACCAGCAAGGTGTGATGGCTCTGCACAGTGGTAACCAGGCAGTACAACACACATTTTAATGCCAGAGAACAGTGCCCATTTGTGGTTCCAGTTATTTTGAAACTAATAAACTAATATAAAGGAATTATAACTCAGGGTCCTTTGACAGGATATTGCAAGAGAACAGAGCAGTTTTTCATCTCCAACCTCTCAGTGTCACTTTAATTGTCGTAATTGGCACTCATACACTGAGAGGAATCAAGACAGGTCAAATCCTGTTCCCAGGGGCGGATCCTCCCAGTTAGAAGTGGAGATCTCACCCAAGACTTAAGGCATAGCCCAGGAGGCTGATGATTCTGGAGAGATGGGATGGACTGTCCCTGGTCACTATGGGCTTTGTTTCAGAGCAGCAATCCATGTACTGGGAGGAAAAACAGTCTTCTGGGTTTTGGTTGTGTACAGTTACGTGGTGCACAGCAGAATTCCCTGTCATACACAGATTTTCACCCCCATAATGTGTAATTTACTGCACAGTAAGCACCACATGGGAAAGAGGTGCAGATAAATAATGTCCTCTGCTATATACTGAGGAAAACAGCAGCCATGTATTCCATGTATGACCTTGTAACAGGGACTTCGTAGCAGCAGAATACTCATTTGTTCTCATAAGAAGCACATAATCTATTTCTTTCTGGTAACAAGTCTCCTTGCAGACACTTTTTTCTCCCACTTACACTGAGCTGTGTGTAAGGATAACACAGTATCATGATCAGCAGCAGCATCAGCCAACAGTGTTCTGCCACAGTTCCCAGGTTTCCTTGCAGGGAACGTAACTGCTGTCACTACATCTGCTTCCAGGAAACACATCCTGTATCTATTAACTCAAGAACAGAAATCATCTCTGGTCCAAAAAGGCAAGATCATTCCAAACCCCATTTTCCCCCCATAAATAGTGCACTTTTAAAATTATTCTTTCTCAGAAGCTGCAAAACACTGTCTCTACACAACATTCAGTAAGTCTCATGTACCCAGAATCAATTTTCAACCCCCACATGCATTTAAAAGAATTTTAAAAGATTATTTATTAGTCCATTAATATATAAGTAAAACTCAGGACTAAAACTTTTCACTGACTGGCTCTTGCTTTCAGTATCAGTAATGGACCACAAGTGTCCTCCCCATCGAGTTACCAATATTCCTGCATGTGATTATTATGCAATAAGAACATGTTTATGAAAATCCTGCATGTGCTTTACAAGTGTTTTATGCTGTTCTTCAATTCAATAACTATTTCATTACTTACCACTTATTTTATTAATTACCCCTTATCAAATCAGAACTAGGAAGACTACAGAATTTTGAATCTTCTGCTCTTAGTCTAAAAGAAAAAAATCCTCTTTTTAAGAAGCTGTGTAGTGAAACGGAGATGATGTGGTGAGGGTAGACTTTTTTGCACCACCAATCTCTATCCCAGCTCACAGACTGTCACTCCCAGAGGCGGAACAGCAGTGCCTATGGCTCCCAGCCTTTAAGGCTGAAAGGATGCTCTGGATTTCAGCAGGGACAGGCGCAGATGCAGGAAGATGACAGAGCACAGGTCACCTCCCCTGTGTTTTGTCTACATCCGAGTCTCTGTAACCCGAGGATTCCTGTTCCTCTCCATCACAGGGGTTGGATCTCTCATGAGCCACTTCCTCACCACTCCCGCGGCCGGGCAGCCCTGCCCCGGCTCTCCCGGGAGCGCATCCACGCTCCAGGAAACGGCTGGTGCTGACCTGGGAACTATTTTATTAAGGCTCAAGGTGTAGTTTTGGTAAAAAGAAGTTCCAAAAATAAGATGTCACACTCTAAAGCCAATTCCTTGTTCTAAACAAACAGCTTACAGCTGACATTGAGAAAGCCAGGACGCTGCACAAATTATCCTTTTTTAAAAACTATTTTTTTAAATCCCAAATCGCGCCGACCCCTCCGGACGCCGCTGGCACTGCACAAAGCGAATTCCTAATTCCTCAAATACGCGGGACTGCAGCTATTTCGGTTCGGGGGGTTTTCTCTTCCCCCTCCCGCTGTCACACAGGGCAGCTCCGCCGCAGCGGCCCCGGGCCCGCGGTGCAGCGGAGGAGCCGGGCCGGGCCTGCGGGGAGAGCCCCGCGGAGCCCCCGCCTGAGGGGCTGCGCCCGCCCCCGCGCTCCTTCTAGAAGGTACCGGCGGCCGCTGCTCCGGGGCCGCCCCCGAGCAGGAGGGACCCGCCGGTGGCGGCGATCGGGGGGACGGAGCCCCGGCCCCGCCGCAGCCCCGCGGCCCCCCCGCTCCCCCGCCCCGGGTGCCCCCGCCCGGCGGCGGCCCAAGATGGTCGCGGGGCGGCGGCGCTCACCTCCTCGGCCTGTTTGCGCAGCGCCTTCTCCCGCTCGTACTGCGTGAGCAGCTGCTCGTTGTCCTCCCGCAGCAGCTCCAGCTCCACCTCGTGCTCCTGGTTGTCGGTGAGCACCGAGTCCAGGTTCTCCAGCACCGTCACCACCAGCGGCATCAGCTCCTTCACCACCTCCTCGTCGTAGCAGTGGATCAGCCGCTCGAACTCGCGGTAGATGCTGTTGGCGAGGCCCGAGACGCGCTCCGACATCACCGACCCCGAGCAGTAATCGTCGCCCGGGTACCCCCCCACGCCGCCATCGTCCAGCTGGATCTCCAGCATCCTGCCGGCCGACAGCCCCCCGGCTCCGCTGCGCTCCGCTCGCCCGCTCCCCTCGGCCCCGCCGCCGCCGCCGCCGCTGCCGCCGGGCTCTGCCCCGCCCCGCCCCGCCCCGCCCTGCCCGCCGCGTCACGGCCCGCCCGGAGCATCCCCGGATCGGGCGCTCCGGCAGCGCGGCTCCGGCTCCTGGCGGCAGCACACGGCGAGCAGCGACGTCCCGAGCCCGCCCGCAGCCAGCCCGCTCCGCCGAGCCCCCCAGGCACACAAAGGCGGCGGTGCGGGGCCATCGGGGCGCTGGCACGCGTGGGACGGCTCGCACAGGGACACCGAGCGCGGCCGGGAGCCAGCGCAGGCGCGGGGCCATCGCCATCGCCCCTCGGCACCCGCCTTAGACACCTGGCGCGTCCAGTGCTCTGCTCGGGGCCCACTGCCTCATCCCCGCTGACATCCACGTCCACATCTCCACAGCCTGACCTGCACCCCAGAAACCAAAGGATTCGGGGGAAAAGAAGCTGTCCCTGGGTATGTTAGCAAGCTACAGACTGGAGAGGTCTTTCAAAGTAAATGGTCAGAAGGTCACAAACGAGTCAGTTTTCCCCCATTTTTCCCTCCCGCTGTCACAGGAGAGCTCAGCCGCAGTGTCCTCGACCCGCGGTGCGGCGGAGGAACCGGGTCGGGCTCAGACTCTCCATCTCTCCGACCATCCATCTCTCCATCATCCCACAAAAACATACAAAGCATCATCCAAATCAGGTGTTTTCCAATCAGGGGCCCGATCTAGAAGGACTCTTTGGAGGGAGGGGACAGCTTTCAGCCAGAAGAGTATTAGAACCTAATTTTGGAACACAATTATTAATGCAAAACCTCCAAACACCTTCAGACTTGCAAGTCTTTTCCCAGTATCTATGAAAATCAGGACATTCCTTTGCTCCATACATGTTAGTCGTCTCAATTTAGTTAATTATATTTCCAAGATCAAGCAACTATAG